AACTGGTATTCAAAAGCAACACTGCTTCCATCTGTGGAGGCAGAACATAGCCTAGCCATGGTGGCCATTGATGGCTTTCTTCTCCATTGATCTGTCTAATCCTTTTTCAAATACATAGATAGATAATTTATTACGGTCAGAGACCAGCTTATAAAACACATTTGGGGGTACAATCCTAAAAGGAAAGCAAACATTTAAAACAATGTACAACAATAAATTTAAAATTTATAAATAAGATAAGCGTATAGACACTTAAAACTTTAAGATAAACTACTGCAGAGAGCTGAGTCACCCATGGAACCGAGTTTGGGGATTTTCTTAATGAACTAGTTTGGGTTGGGGGATGGTCTGCACCTACAGATCGGTACACAGAATCTGGCGACCATCTGGGTCGTCTTATGATCTTTGCCTAACAGGAAAAGGTCAAATTTTTGCTTTTCTGGGAGGTCAGCGAGCCTCACCAGCAAGGGATCAATGGTCTCACTCCGTTCCTCTTCATAAAAGGGACATCTAAAGAACAAGTGCTCTGGGCTTCCCATCTCCCCCAATAAACAGGCGCAAAGTCTCGGAGCATATGGGACTTTTTAAAAGGATCCTTCCAGGACCGGCAAGGGCAGAGCCGAGCTTCTGGCAAGTGTAAAGGCCCTTCTAGCATTTTTGGATACGAGAAAGAAGAGATATGCTGCCGGTGCGGCTATGTATCTCTTGATTTCTCCAATTTTATAGTCGGGGTACCTTGAGCAGTCCTGTTGTCTCTCGCTGTCTATGATTCTTTGCCTGACCATAGCTTTTGCCTGGCCCAACCCCAGACTTAGAAGGGCTTGAGGGGCAAAAACCAGTTTCTGAAGGGTGTTCAGGACTGCAGTCTGCCAGCCTGACTGGAATTGGTCACAGAGGATCAGTGGGGCTATTCCTTGGGGGAGCAGATTCAATGTCAGCCATTTTTAGATTGATGTTAGGCAGATATAAGTCTCCACTCTCATCATCCCCGTTTCTAGTCTAACCCATGCATTTGAAACACATCTGGGGACTTGGAGGAGAGCTCTAAAGAGTTTGGATTGAACTCTCTCAAGGAGAGGGAGAAAGCAGAGGAAGGAGGGCCCAGAAAGGATCAGTAAAGGAGCTGTGCCAACGTTTTGGCCTTGTATAATTTTAGAGCCGTGGGGACAAAAAAGCCCCCTTGTGCTCTGAAAAATTAAAGGATACAGTTTGCGTTTTCCCCCGCTGAGCTCCCAATGGAGTTTATGTGTAGTTTGTTGGTTTCTGAGGCATGTACCACCATTCCTAGATACTTATAATTTGTGACTTGTTCTAATTTATGGCCTTGGAGTTCCCAGCTTCTAAGCTTTGGTTTCCCCCCGAAAGTGAATATCTTGGTCTTTTGATAGTTGATTTTGAGACATTCAGATTCACAGTATGCTGCGAGCTTTCTTAGTGCTCTTTTGAGTCCAATGGGGGTTCCAGAGAAAATTACCGCATCATCGGCATATAACAGGACTGAGCTATGCTGATTTGCGAGCTTCAGAGGGTGGAGTTCTAAGTCATTGAGTACAGATACTAAATTATTTAAATAGAAATTGAATAGTAGAGGGGCCAAAAGGCACCCTTGCCTGACTCCCTTGAAGGTTTTAATGGGGTCTGTTAGGTGTCCTAGGTGGCTGCACCTGACTCTTAAAAGCCGTGTTTGTGTTCAGTGCCTGAATTAAGCGCAGGAGCCTTCTATCTATATTGGTACCCTGTGGTCTGTCCCAGAGTCTGGTTCTGGTGACTGTATCAAAGGCTGCTTTTAGATCAATGAAGGCAGCATATAGTGAGGCCTGCCCCTCTGATTTGTATTTGTCAATGAGATGTTGTAACGTTAGACAGTGATCTGTCATGGACCTTCCAGGTCTGAAGCCCACTTGTTCTATTGCCAGGATATCATCATTCTCTAGCCATTCTGTAAACTTATTAAGGAGGTGCTTTGAGTAAAGTTAGGGATGCGGGTGGCGCTGTGGGTTAAACCACAGAGCCTAGGGCTTGCCGATCAGAAGGTTGGCGGTTCGAATCCCCGCGATGGGCTGAGCTCCTGTTGCTCGGTCCCTGCTCCTGCCAACCTAGCAGTTTACCTACTTGAAAGCATGCCAAAGTGCAAGTAGATAAATAGGTACCGCTCCGGCGGGAAGGTAAATGGCGTTTCCGTGCGCTGCTCTGGTTCGCCAGAAGCAGCTTAGTCATGCTGGCCACATGACCTGTACGCCAGCTCCCTTGGCCAATAAAGCAAGATGAGCGCCGCAACCCCAGAGTTGGCCATGACTGGACCTAATGGTCAGGGGTCCCTTTACCTTTACTCTTTTTTTTAGGGCATGGACGGCAAGATAGGCTTGCTGTCTGACAGAATTTTCAGCTGTCAGGGTGGCTTTGTAAGCATTTTGCAGGGCTCTTTTGGCCTCAAAACAGGTGTCATCAAACCAGGGTTTATTTGATATTATTGGTTTATCTGGCCTTTTCGCTGTGGCATTAAAAAGATGGAGTTTTAATTGTTGGAGCAGGCTCTCATACTTGGAAATTGGGTCCCCAGAGCCAATTAAAATTGTACGGAGTTTTTCAGAGGTTAGAATCTCCTTCAGTTTGGAGTCAAGTGCGGGGGTCCATTTGACTTGGCAGCCAGGTCGCTCTAATGCAGTGACTCATTTATAGGAGACAGCTGCAGGTGGAAAGGGAAATGGTCCCCCTCTATGAATGGGAGCACTTTTAAGTTCACTATTTTTGTTAGCAATTCACTATCAGCCAACATATAATCAATTGTGCTGGTTCTTGCCCCTGACATGAATGTATATTCCCGGGGATATTGCCCCTGGTGCAACCATTTAGGATATGAAAATTTAGCTGCCTAGAGAATTTGAAGAGGCAGGCTCCGGCAAAATTTGAATGTTGGTCCTATGACTGCCTTGGTAGTTGGAAAGCCTCCGGGCTAGAGTCATCAGGGTACCCTATTTTATGCCTGTATTTAGTTTCTAAACTGGGGTCATCAGGCCCTAACCTTGCATTTAGGTCGCCCACCAGCAGGACCTTTGCTGGATAATCTGCTAGCAGTAACCTGACATAAGAATCCAGTCTATTCCAGTTGCCCTCAATGCCGTGGTTTTTTTTTTGCTAGTTGGGGGAATATAAACGTTAATAATTAGTAAACTGCAGTTTCCCCAGGATATGAGTAGGGCCATTGCTAGGTGATCTAGGGGGGACAGCTCCTTACAGGTGCTTTTTCAAATACATCAACGTTTTTGGCCATTACTGCCTCCTGTGGAACCAGGGGCCCATTGTGTAACCATCGACTGGTGAGTAGACCAGCCTTCAAGCCATCCAAATCGGTGGTTATCCTGGCCTCCTGGGAGAGCAAGTTCTTAATTTATGTATGTGCTACATGAAGAAAGACTTCCTTTTCTCTGTCCAGAATCTTCCAAAACTAAGCTTTACTGAATGTCTACAAGGTCTAGTGTTGTGAAAGGAAGAGAAAAGCTTTTCTCTATCCAGTTTCTCCATGCTGTGCTTAATTTTTTATAAAATTCCATCATGTTCCCCCTTAGTTGCCTTTCCTCCAAACATAAAAAGCCACAAAACAACCTCTCCTGATTGGGTACTTATTCTGTATGCTTGATCTATTATTATTATTATTATTATTATTAATGATTTTTTCTCAGTTTTCTATTTACAGATCATATTTTAACCCTTCCACATAGACTTCCCCACCTAACTTTCTTTCCATGGCAGCTCAGATACATCTTATTTATCTTATATATCCATTAATTTATCCACCCTATTTTATCCCTTTCCCTATCACTGTTGTTAAAGTTACATTTAATGTCATATCATTGTAGATATTCCCCAAAGTTCCACACTCACCCATCACCTGTTTTTCATTTTGAGTTCTTAATTTAGTAGTCATGCTTGCTAATTCTGCGTATTCTGTCAGTTTCTACAATCATTGTTCTTTTCCTGGAATCTCTTTGTTTCCGATTTCTAGCGTACACTATTCTTGCTGCTGATGTTGTGTACAAGAATAAGTTGCAGACCTTTCCCCCCCCCTTTTTTGGTATTTCATCTCTGGGAGTAGTCCCCATTGGACTCAGTGGGAATCACTTCTGAATAGTCAGGTATAATAAGATGGCGCTGTTAGAAGAGACACACTCTCTCGTGAGGAAAGGATGCCTCTTCCAAGACGCTGTCTGCCACCTGATTTTTCTATAAGAAATTATATGTAAACAACACATTAACATTTAGAAGACCGTATGACTCAGCTGGCTGGGAATGCGTCTTTAGTCAATTTGCAGAGCAATCCTATACAGATTTACTTGGTGGGAGTGCGCTGAATTAATTTGGGTGCAATTCTATTACTGGAACTGTTTTACAGGTTGAATTATTTTAAAAGCATTGTATTGTCTTTAAGGGTGCCAACTCATCAGGGCCGAGCCATTTTGGGGCCCCCAGTATTTTTGGGAGGGGCCTGAACCCCCCAATGTCCCCTAAAACCAGGGAGCAGAGGAGGTCTTCTCCTCCTGCTGGTGCTACTGCTGTTGCAGAGGGGAAGAGGGTCGAAGCAGCGCCCCATGAGTGAGGGTGGCAGGAGGAGGAGGAGCCGCTGGTCAGCTCTGCCCCTGGCTCTTCCCAATGTCCTGACATCGTGCATGATGTTGGCTCCCCCAATCAACCCTTGCAAGCTGGAGCCTCTGATTATCTTCATATATGGAATTATTGTTATTATTATTATTATTATATAAGGAACTGTTCTTAAGCTTGTTTTATTACTGTAGCTATTTTAATTGTTTTATTATTTTGTTTTTTTATTATTGTAACCTGCCCTGGGATCTTGTGATAAAGGGTGGGTAAGAAATCTCAATTAAAATAAAATGTGTAGGATTGCACACTATGAAATGGGTTTTCAATTAACTTATCTAACTAATGAGTCCTTAGTTCTGCTATCTGGTGGCAAGCTGACTTCTCATGATCATTCCATCTGCCAGGTCGGAGATGAGATCAGCCTGCGGGAAGATTTTGTGTTCCTCAGAAGACTACAGAAGTGTCGGAAGCCGCAAGACGGTGATGCAACCCTCCTGGACTGCGCAAAGATATTGAGCAGCTTGCAGGACCTACTACAGGATCAAAAGAGCAAGGTAGAAGCAGACATGGGTGTGTGTGTGTGATTATTGGAACTGGTAGAGCAGAAGGCAGGAATGCCAACAGGAAGTGGAACCAGAGCCAGGTGTAGGCAGAGCTCACTCTCTTCCTGTCTGAGTTCTGCAAGGAGAATGTTGCATACCCTCCAACACATTGAAGGCAAAAACTGGTGCGCCATCTTCCCATTTTTTCTCATGAAAGGATAGTGGCCATTTTGATTTCATGCAGAAATTTCCCACTGAAGAAAGCCACTAATATTGTGTGTTTTGGGGTGCTGTGTTAAGGTTACCAGACGTCCCCATTTCACGGGGACAGTCCCCAGATTTACAAATCAGTCCCCTGACAAAATCCATCTATTTAGTAGGAAGTTGAAAAATGTCCCCAGATTCACTGGGGGGAAAAATCTGGTAACCTTATGTTATGTGAGATCACAGCCCTGAAAAAGTGTTTTTGGGAGGAAATTGCAGTTTGAAATGGCCACCGTCCTCTTGCAATATAAAATGGGATGCCCTGGTTTTTCCAGGACACTTGCATGGTAGGAACCCTGAGACTGTGGAGGAAGAAGCTGGTGAGCAGGGCTACTCCCCAACTGGTTTTTATGGAAGAAGACAGGCTGGAGGGGGGAAGAATGAGGTTGGGGGGCAGTGCCTTGTTCACCCTAGTGAATCAGCCTCCACAGAGTAAAACCTGTCCAGGACTGGTCTAGTTGATTTTGATAGGCAACAAGCTCTGCAAAATGAGACTGACCCTCCCTCCTTATTTGTGAAAGCTAGTGACTTCTCATTTTTTTAAAAAGATAAGAGAACCCCTGGATGGTTAAGTCCAGTCAAAGGTGACTATGGGGTGCAGCACTCATCTCCAGTTTCAGGCCAAGGGAGCTGGTGTTTGTCCACAGACAGCTTTCCAGGTCATGTGGCCAGCGTGACTAAACCACTTCTGGCACAATGGGACACCGTGACAGAAGCCAGAGTGCACGGAAACACCATTTACGGTACTTCCCTGTCGCTGCAGTACCTATTTATCTACTTGCACTGGCATGCTTTCACTCAGATTGTGAAACAGGACCAGTGGAATGTGTGGCCTAGGAAAGTTTCTGAGGGCCAGGCAGAAAAGCCTGGAGGGCCACATGTGGCTCCTGAGACCAAGGTTCCCCATTCTTTCTCTCTGCTATACGACCAAAAGGTTGAGCAAGGCTGAATGTGGCGATGCAAAGCTTTGAGTCTGGTAGGCTCAATCCTTTAGCCTTATCCACACCCATTGCCTGCCCTCCAGCCCCGCCCTTCCCCTTCATAGGGGTCCTCACTGACTGCATATACGCCATACAATTAAAGCACAATACCCTAGCAAATGATAATCAGCTAATGGTTCCTGAGCAGTCTGATGCACAGAAATGCAGGGTCTGTTCCTATGCACATCTGCCTGGGATCAGGCCCCTGCTAAATTCAGTGGGACTTCCTTACACACATACATAGATGGACAGAAACATTTTCCCACCATGGAGGTGATGGAGCGATAGGAAAAGCACAATCAATGGCAAGCATCACATGTTCATTGATGCCAGGAAAGGCCAAAGCTCATCTTGGAGGGCATCTGCCTTGCCTGCAGAAGGCCCCACTTCAAATCCCCAACATCTCCAGGTAGGGCTGGGAGCAGCCCCTGGAAAACTGCTGCCAGTCAATGTAGATAACACTGAGCAAGATGGATAGGCAGTTTGACTAAGTAAAAGGTGTTTCCTATGTCCTGAGTTGCTTCAGATGTCTTTTTGCACAAGCTTTCACTGACCAACAATATTGTGCCCTGTTATTTATGATCCTGTTTTATTGAGGTGGGGTGGAGGGTGCACGGCTTAGATTTCAAAATATTAAGCTGTTGAGACATGTTTTTAAATCAATAATGTAGAAAAGCGCCATTTGCAGTATGCACACCAGTCAGGCAGCTGCAAATGCACAGGCGCTCTGTCAGAGAGAGAAAGTTGACAATTCTAAAATTAGCTTCTTATATGTTTTAATGAGCAAGGAAACCTGCCATGTCTCAGCTTCTTCTTAGAATATGCTCATTGCGTTTTCGCACCCTCGTTTTTACTTCAGCTTGTTGAGTCATTCCTGTACTTGTTCCCAGCATTTTAACCATGCAAAGTCAAGAAAAGCAAAATCTTTTGTCTTTTTTTTTTTGAAAATCTGCTTTGTAAGCAGTAGCTCTGCCACACACAAGGGTTTATTTTCTGCAGCCAGTGAGAAATAGGCAAAGCAGAATCTTCTGGGCAGCTGAGGGCAATGGAGGTGGCCAAATTGAATGTCACCTGAAGGAGGGGTTAACAAAGACAAGGAAGGAAAAAGAAACTTTCCTAGTTCCAGGAGAGAACAACAAAGGCCATGTAAGAATTTAAGGAGGGGGGTCATGTGATAAGAGCTGAAGGACCCGAGATGAGATGGTGGACAACCACAGAGGAGAAGTTGGAATCTGTGGCAAAGTGAAAGATGATGCCCAATGTGTGAATCAAACTTTTCAGCAAGGGGGCAGAGAGGAAGCGGTTGTATTTCAGAAGGGAGGAGATACATGAAAGTATCTAGAACAGCCTTCACTCAAATGTTTCCAAATGTTTTCAACTACAGCTTCCATCAGCCAGGACAGCCATGGCTGGTTGCTGAAGGCTGGTCTAGATACACAATAGCTCATTTTTGCATATCTGCTGATGAAAAAACAATGACCTATTTGGAATGTATTCAGGGTGAGAGGGCGAGGAATGTAACAATGGGCTGCCACAGAGATGCAATGCTGGCTGGCTGCTCCTGGGTTTTGACAACTGGAGAAGCATGTATTGTATCGCACAGATGCTGCCATTCTTTTAATATTATCTCCTGCCTCTTCAAATTGCTCTAGATTCAACAAGAAAGCCTCCTAGCCAAGAGAACAGGTATGTAAGGAACCCTTGAAATGAAAACTCAAATAGAGAGTAATCAGGCCACAGAGCAAAAAAAAATAAAAAAAAATGGGGGGGGGCTGGCGGAATCTGAGGCACCAGGGCTGGGGTGGAGATGACACTTTTAAAACTCCAGCACCAAAAAAGAGGTGATGTAATTTGGGGGCAAATCATACTCTCCCCCCCGCCCCAAAGCAGCAAGTTGAAGAAGGAGGGTTGGGTATAAGTTGCTCAGGTTTGGGTGGGCTATGTACTTAGTCACATCTGCAGACCCTACATTTAAATCACACAGTGTCCCCCAAAGAATCCTGGGAGATGTATTTTGTTAAGACTCAGGGTTGTAGCTTTGTCAGGAGTATGTGGCAGTACCCAAGATTCTTCAGGCAGAGCTGTAGCTACAGGAAAACAAAATCTAGTTTTGCCCCTGCTTTGGGGGAAGCTATGACTGTTACTATGGTATAAATGCACTTTAAAGGCAGGGTATGTGAATGTGATCTGTTCTGCACATTCTGGGTGGAGACTGAGTCATCGTACCTAAGCTGGTCTTCTGAAAACTTGGCCACTTTTTCTTGTTTGTGCAAACCTTGCTGGACTGTAGCTCAGTGGTAGAGCTGCTGCGTCACACGCAGAAATTCCCATGTTCAATCCCCAGCATCTCCAGGTGGGGTGGGGAACTTCCCCCTCCAAAAAAACTCTAGAGAGCCAACTGCTATCCAGTGCTGACAGTACTAAGCTAGAGGAACTAATTGTCTGGGTCAGGAAAAGAGAGCTTCCTATGCTTACCAAAATGGGCTGCTTCTCTGACACCAATGTTGCACACACTCCATTCCTCTGCAGGAGACTGGTGGTGTTCATAGAATCACAGAGTTGGAAGGGACCCTGAGGATCATCTTGTGCAACCCCCTGCAATGCAGGAAAATGCAGCTGCCCCCTTTGGGGATCGAACCTGCAACCTTGGCGTTATCAGCACCATGCCCTAACCAACTGAGTGTTGTAGCATTTGTTTATTGAGCTAATGTGAGGGACTCAATTTAATACTGGAAACATCAGAAACTGACAGAAAGCAGACTGATCGGTTTGTCCACCCCTAGGTTGTACCTTCAATCCCATAATTCAAGGAAGGGGTCATAGCTCAGCATTAGAGCTTTGCATGCAGAATGTTCAAGGGCATCTCCAAGTAGGGCTGGAGGGGAACCAGTCTGAAATCTTGGGAGAGCAACTGCCTGTCAGATAGTGCTCAGCTGGATAGACCAATGGCCTGACTCAGTATGGGGCAGGGCTCAGCAACCTTTTTCAGCCATGGGCCGGTCCACCATCAGTCAGACCATGTGGTGGGCCGGACTATATTTTGGACAGAGAAAAATGAACGAATTCCTATGCCCCACAAATAACCCAGAGATGCATTTTAAATAAAAGCACACATTCTACTTATGTCAAAACACCAGGTAGGCCCCACAAATAACCCAGAGATGCATTTTAAACAAAAGCACACATTCTACTCATGTAAAAGCATGCTGATTCCCGGACCATCTGCGGGCTGGATTGAGAAGGCGATTGGGCCGCATCCAGCCCCCAGGCCTTAGGTTGCCTACCCTTGGTATAGGGCATCTTCCTGCATGCATGATGGCCCTGAAATGAGATGAACATGGGCAAAGTCATATGGAGGCTGTTTCTCTTCCAGGTGACAAAAGGCAAGCTGCGAGCATCCACCTGGCTGGCTGGAAGGGCAACAAGAGAGGTGAGGAGTGAGAGTTTGTGATAGTCTATCACTCATAGCCACGTGGAGGAGAGTGTGTGGTTTTTGAGGGACGGAAAGAGCAAAGTGATCAACACTTTCCTCTCCTTTTCTTCCTGTTCATGTGAGAAATTGAATATGCATTCAGCATTGAATACAGAGGAAAATACTTCATGAGGGATTTGGGTCAGCTTCTACCCACTGAACTCTTGAAATTAGCCCCGTTTAGTAATTCAGCGAGAATTCGTGGGCATCCAATGAAGCTGGATGTTGGGAGATACAGAACAGAAAATAGAAAAGTCCTCCTTCACACAATGCACAGTTAAACTATGGAACTTACTCCTGCAGGAGGCAGTGACAAATTCTTGGAGGTTATCAACGGCTACTAACCAGGATGGCTCTGCCCTGCCTCTGTGGTCAGAGGCAGTGATGCTTCTGAATCCCAGTTCCTGGAAACCACAGAATGGGAGAGTGCTCTTGTGCTTGGGTCATTGGGTTTCCCATTTCCCAGAGGTGTTTGGGTGGCCATGGTGGGGAAAAGATTCTGGACTAGATGGGCCATGGGCTTAATCCAAGCAGGCTCTTCCTATGTCCTTATGACAAGATTTGCCCATCCCAAGAGAGACAGCACATCTCTGTCTGGGAATAGTGGACATTATTGTGATACTGAGTGGGATGTCTTCACTTTAGCAGCCCATATGCTAAAACTGAAACAATACAGAGAAGATTAGCATGAGGCTAAGCGAGAAGTGAGCTATAGAGCTGAAATGCTAAGCACGAACTTGCCCAGCAGTGCTGATAGAAATGCTCCTCGAATAAATACAGCCTATCTTTTCTTCCCCACAGTTTTGCAGTGGAAAAGGCCACCCTATTCTCCAATGGATAATGACACATTTTCATACCAAGATGGGAAAATCAAAGTTGGCAAAAGAGGACGGTACTATATTTATTCCCAGGTTGCCTTTTGCACCAAGCCAGAGACGCACGCATCATTCAGCCTCTACGTATATCTGAACCTTCCGTCGGAGGCAGATCAGCTGCTGTTGAAAGGAGTGGGGACTCACGGCACATCAGACGATCTGTGCAGCCTGCAGTCAATTCATGTAGGGAGAGTTGTTGAGCTCCAGGAAGGTCATGTCATCTTTGTCAATGTGACGGACTTATCTAGAGTGAATTATGACCATGGATATACATACTTCGGCATGTCTGAACTATCCTAGGAGAGGCTGAGAAGATGGAGCTTTGTTGAACAAAGCTGGTCCCCCAAATCCTATTTATAATAACCCACTTCATATTTTGTTTTATTTTTCCTTCCACCCTGTATATTTTATTTTATTTATTAATGAGAGTTGGAGCGTGGCTCCTCAGAACCAAAATGTAATACTGGAAAGCCAGGCTTCAACAGATGCAGCACAGGTGTCAGACGTTGCACTGGGCTTGTTGATACGCTCCATCCTAAGCACTTGTGTGCTGGCACAACAAGTCTTGGGATTGCTTTTCACATTGCTTCCACTTCCAGAGCTACTAGCCAAATAGTTAGAAAAATCAAAGTGCAACTCATACTTTTCAGACATGACACACGTATCATGGGGGAAAGCCCATAGCTGAGTGGTGCATGCTTTGCATGCAAAAGGTCCTAAATTCCATTCCTGGCATCTCAGAATGGGGCGAGGGGAAACCTCTGCTTGAAAGCCTGGAGAGCCACGGCAAATCAGAATAGGCAATACTGATCAAGCTGTAGCTTTTGAGCTCTTATTTTAGAAGCTACCACTGCAAAGGCAGCAATTTTCCAACTCACCTTTAGCGTCACCGTCTTGACGTACATATGATGCAGAGTTGTGTAACATTATTTTCCAAGACAGGAAAGAGCATGTTATGTGCAAGAGATCTGACTGAATAAGAGAGAACTTCACAAGCAGAAGGAGCTGCAGATGACAATGTTCATGCAGCCCTTCCTGATCTTTATGGATGCCCCCGAGTCCAGCTATCCCACTATATGCATCTCACTATCCCAAGTCGCAACTGGCATGCGGAAAGCGCAGTATATGCTGGCTTGTGGGCCTTGTAGGGAGAGCTCAAGCAGATCTTCCACAGCAATCCCACATCCCAAATGTATGAGTGTACTTAATGATCAGTTTTTTATAATGACCTTCCCATAATTTTTGTGAACATTGTTTGAAACCTTGCTTAATTTAGTGCAGTTCCTCCTTGCAAGCTAAGTTGGAAAGAGAAAACAGTCTCTAAAAGAACTAAAAGTGTTTTGAGAAAGGTTCACTTCCCACAAGATATTCAGATGCTTCTTTTGCCCCCATTCTCACCTCTGGTCAAAGAGGTTTGGCAAGTTTTCAAAAGCATAAAACCCTACAAAACCTATTTAGCCTAGGGCATATGTGCAATGAGTTTACGGACCATGAGTGCCAATTCCTCTTTCAAATTGCCTTCAATTCTTGAGATGGGAAACCCCATAAAGTTTAAAACTGATGCATCTTTGCTGTGCCTTATTGGCTTATTGTTTTTTTATTGAAGTGGATATTTTAAGAGGTTTACAGGTGAGGTCCAGGTACTGCTGCTGCTGGGAATCCAGACTCTCTCTGGCAAGGCAGGAGTGGCAATGGAGACACATTCCTGTGCTCCTCCTTCCCTTTAGCACCTTCCCCCATTATTAAACAGTTTCCCTTGCATCCCCGGGACAGAGGTGTGTGTGTGTGTGTGTGTTAGACCAGCTCCTGAATCACTCCTGCTTTGGGGGTGGGGAAGGCCAGCACAGCTTCGCTGTTGGACTGGGTCCTTCATTAGGCTTCTGGTACCAGTTGTTTCAGGGTGTCTGCAGAAGGAGCAGGAGGTCCAGTATTGCAGGAGTGGAGACCCACAGGCCATGGGGTCAGATGTGGCCCTCCAGGCCTCTCTGCCTGGCCCTTGGGGGGCTTCACACAGGCCCCATCTCCTCCCCAGGCCCCACCACTCACTGACGCTGCTTCACTCTCTCCTTGAGTTTTCATTTGCCTGGCTGGGGTGTCTTGCCTTGAACTGTAATAACACCTCCTCCTTGGCTGGATGGAGAGATGTACATGCAGAAAAACATTGCTGGGCTGTATCCAAAGCACAGAGAGTTACCTACTGCTGGGATGTGGCTCCTAGAGGGTTGCCCAATAGGGAATGTAGTCTCCAGGCTGAAGTAAGGTTCCCCACCCTTTCCGTATTGGATCTCCTCTGATTTTGGAACTTTTTATCTCTCAGCACACCCACAAGACATATGTAAAGTGGTTTAATGAGCAGTCGCTTCTTCCCAGGGAACTCTGGGAGCTGTCATTCTCTGAGGGCGACACACAAGGTCTCCTAACAATTCTCAGCACCCTCAAGAAACTAGTCCCTAGGATTCTTTGGGGAAAATCCCAAGAGTTAACGTGATATGAAAATGCTTTAAATATACAATGCAGACAAATCCTCTGTCTTTACAAAGAGAGACCTGATGATGCATCCTATAGCTTCCGAGAGGCCATACGATCCCACTCTAAACAAGTCAGACTTTATTTTGCTATCTTATGTAATCTGCCTTAAAGGCAGTGATGATAAAGAGATGCGTAATTTAGTAATTTTGTGTTGGAGGTGACCTATGGAAAATGATATTCTGTGCTACTCTCTCCTGAGATCTTGTCGTGCTTCTTAAAAGAACCTGAAGTTTGTCTAAATAAAACATGTTGTTCTACTGCTGTGGCTTATTTGTGTGCAGTGCAGTCCAATGTGCAGCTGCTAAGAAGGAAGAACCAGGGAGTTCATTGGGACTTAAAGATAAAGGTTCCCCTGACCGTTAGGTCCAGTTGCAGGCGACTCTGGGGTTGCGGAGCTCATCTCGCTTTACTGGCCGAGGGAGCCAGCGTTTGTCCACAGACAGCTTCCGGGTCATGTGGCCAGCATGACTAAGCCACTTCTGGCGAACCAGAGCAGCGCACGGAAATGCTATTTACCTTCCTGCCAGAGCAGTACCTATTTATCTACTTGCACTTTGACGTGGTTTCGAACTGCTAGGTGGGCAGGAGCTGGGACCGAACAATGGGAGCTCACCCCGTCGTGGGGATTTGAACCGCTGACCTTCTGATTGGCAAGCCCTAGGCTCTGTGGTTTAGACCACAGCGCCACCTGCATCCCTTCTTTTGCAAACGGGTATAGAATTGCAGCCTCTATCCACCTGCTTTTTTAAAAATAGTTCTTTTTTCCTTTTCAGCTCAGGATCATTGTGGATGTTTTGCAATGAGTACTAGGGTTTTTTATTTAAACAATTTTTAAAAAGCAAACAAATTAAAAAGAGATTGGAAGATAAGTCGTAAGGAAAAGCACACACACACACAAAATTATTTTTCTTTAAAACCCTTTTTTATTTTTGTTGAAAACCACAATTTAAAAAATTGCTCCAAATAAAAGCAGGTTAGAAAAAGTTGAACACGCACCAGTCATCGTGACAGAAAATAAGAACATGTATGACAGGAAGGAAACATGAGAGGCAAAGGGTTAATGTGTGGGATGCAACAGGAACCTATTTACAAAGAGCTGTAAACAAAGAATATATATCTATATTTTTGAGAACACTGAAGTCAGATTCACACATGGCTTCTGCTCCTTTATGATAGCTGCATATTCTTCTTTGTTTTTACAGCACAATCCGGTGGGTGTTTTATTCAGAGTAAGTCCCTTTCAGTTCAATGGGACCTCTGTTTGAGAAAGGGTGTTTAGGATTGCAGGCTTAATTTTCCTTAAACACACACACACACACACACACTCTTATTCACATCAGGTTCACACAGTGCAAGCAAATGCTGAATTTGAATAGCAATACCAGAGTTTCCCAAACTTTTGACACCTGGGGTGGTGGTTGGGTGGGTCACAGTGCTTTTTAAACTGGATCTATGGGAGAGGCTGCAGCCCAGCTTTAGCATGCAGGGGTTCCCAGATTCATCCCCTGGCACTCTCCAAGTTTCATTTCTTAAGCAGAGCCTAGGTAAGCAGGGCTGGCAAAGTCTCAACTAGGGCCGTGGAAAGCCACTATCAGCTGGTACCTTTCCATACCTGCCCCTGCTCCAGATGTTCTGGACAAGCTTGTTGGGACTGATAACCGTTGTTGCCCAAGATATCTGGAGGGTTCTACCATTGGGGAAGGCTGGCATGGCCCGTATCAGGACCTGCTAAGCAGACTTCAGTTATATAATGCAGCTTTCCTACATTCAAATCTGTAGGCACTCTCTGTAACTCAGAAAAAAAAATAAACCACATATTAGTCCTCAAAACAAGAGGGCAGGCAATCTCCTTGAGACTAAGGGTGTTGCCTGCTTTTGCATGGCCACAAACAAAGGCGAAAAAAGACATGTGCCTGCATAATCTAAAGTATATGCATAGATGCAAATCTAGAAAGAATTACCCTAAGAGAAATACAACACATACTGCCCCAATGGATGAGATGATGAGCAGGGGAATATTGTGCCTGCTCAGTTTGCTGTCTTGGACCAGGCAGCCATTCAAGCAGAGGATGCCTGCAGGCAGAGAAGTGTGCCCTGTACAAGTAGGGCACACAGTCACCTAGTGTGCACCTCAACCTAAAAGATATCCAAATTCCAACGTTTCATGATGGAAAACAAGCAAGTCTGAAGGCTTCCCCTAGCTGGTCTCCCTTCTTATGGCCAGAGCCGGCCCAAAGGTGAGGGTGAAGCACCCGCCTCAGGCAGTGGAAATGAAAACAGGCAGGGCCCCTCCCACCCTATTGCTTCTGCCACCAGTGGAACACCCTCCCACTTGCCAAATTTCGGCGAGAGGAGAAGTATTGTGGCATATTGCGTTGCTGCTTGTCTTGCTGCCCCTGGGGCAGAGAAGGTGCACGGAAACGCCTTGGAGAATAATGAAGATGTTATTTATACTCCACCCATCTGGCTAGGTTGCTCCAGCCACTCTTGCTGAATTTGGCAAGAGGGGAGCATTCTGGCAGCACTGGAAGTGGGTAGTGGGCCATGGGGGTGGGGACAGAAGGGGGCAAATTCCTGGTTTGCCTCAGGTAGCGAAATGGGATGAGGGACACCACTCCCTGTGGTTCTTTACCTTTAAGGGGGACTTGTGCCGGACACCTGTGCTGGCAGGGGCTCATGGGAGCTGTGCTCCACCTGCAGAGTCCCGTTGCTGATGTGTGCCCTGGCACAATGTCTGGGATTTTCTAAGCAAGAATTTATCCAGCTCCTTAACAATTCTGCTCCCAGCTGGTAGGGAAGGAACCTGCTACGTTTTCAAGTTAACGAAAGCTGAAAAACACATGTTTTTGGAGCGTCAAGGACTCTGTGTCAGTTCCATCATTGCATTATGTGCCTCTTCCTCACCAGGGTTGTGTTCTGGAGCTGGGGGAGATGGTGCAGCCATGTTGGGAGCAGAAGATGGCGATGCACAAGGCTCATTGACCAGTATCTGTAACGTCACCAAGACACTCCAGCCCCTAGATCAGTTTTGTGCTTTTAAAAATGTTTCTTTTTATAAGGTAACAAATGAGCAAACAAACACATGCACATTCATGCAATGTTCAAAAGAAAGAAGAAGAAATGGGCGGGATGGGCAGCATGGGTGGGAGAAGTTAGATGGACCAGTATGGACCTAGTTGGACCAATTTTCTGACTCAGCACAAGGCAGAGTCCTATATTCCAAATCTTTGCACAGCCAGTCTTGAGACCTTTAACGGCATGAAACTCTGTGTCCTCCTTTCCCTTCTGCTGCACCAAGATGGTGCTAGCTGCTTCAACAAAAGTGCTTTCCCTTACAAAGTTTAGGGTCACCTAGTGGCAAGGATTTCCCCTCCCTGCTAAAAGCTGACTGTGGGTGGATTAGGAAGGCCAGAGTTCAGGCATTGCGGTGACTCAGTTAACAACCATTAAAATTCCAAGTTTGGTTTCGTAGAGCTATTGGTAAAATGGAATTATGCCAGCAATTATAAAATAAAGCCAGGGGAAAGGGAGCAGGAATACTCTTTGAGGAACCCGGAAATAAATGAAATGTGCAGGTTATATTATAGGCAGACCTGGCTGGCTTGCATATTGTTAAGGTTAAATGTTTCCTTTAAGAGCACATACAAAAAGGAGATTCATTCTTCATTTGATTTAGTTTGTGTTCCCTAAGTAGCTATAATCTCTTCTTATCCTAGATGGAGCTGGATGAAATTCATCCAGCTTCCATTAAACATTCCTCACACGGTTGTGAATATCTGAACTATCTCCCTTCCCACTTATGATCACAGAATATATTATCCTGTTTTTAATTTTATTTGTTTAAGTCTCAGCACACAACTTCAGCATCAGTGCTCACCCTGAAGGGGAACAGCAAATACTCCGTCAAAGGAGAAAAGGAAACATACCACGAGGGCTATCAGCCAATCAACAAAACCGACTGAATCAGACAGGTTTTGCTTTGATTCCACCTACATAAATTAGCTTGCAACAAAATGCACTCTTCTGAGGAAAAGTATTATTTGCTTTTAGCTGTCAGAACTACCTTTCATCCAGTAAGTGTCTTCTCAGAAGAGGCACCCCCTTCCGACAGCAGAGGGAAGGGACTACAGATTCAAAAGTAGAGCATTGCTTTGCATGCAGAAAGTCCCAGGTTCAATTCCTGGCACCTCCAAGTGCAACCCTAAAGAGCCACTCATTCAGGACTGATAATCCTGAGCTAGAGGGACCAATGGCCACACTCAGTGGCTTCCCCATTTATCACATCCCTTTATACAAGTCAATAAGGACTAGAATATTTTCTTTTTTAAAAGATCCAGTTAAATCCAGTTTCACAAGGAGCAGGAGGACAGGGGCATTTTTTCTCAGCCCGAGACCAAGGAGTGGCCTTGCTAGAGAGTCCAGATTAGGGATGGGGAACCTCAGGTCCGGGGGTCTTGTGTGCCCCCTCCTCAACTGGCCATCAGGACTCTCCCTAGGCTATGTCCCTTGCTGGCCCTGCTTCACTTCTTCCTTGACTGCTTTTGCCTGGCTAGATTGTGTCTCTGAACTGTGAGCAGTACATGTTTTCTCTGTGTGTATAAACAGTTGTGTCTGTCTCCTTGCCTACATTTGCCTTTGGCCAATACAAAACATGGACATGCGGCCTCTAAGTCTCCAGAGCCCTGGAGTAGCCAATATAGGGCTATATATAAATGGTCTAACCTGTTAGAAGAGAAGCTCTGCATATCCAAAGAGAGAGAGAGACTGAGGCCACACCATACATTTGAAGCAATATCTTGCCACTTTAAACAGTCAAGGCTTCCCCCAAATAACCCTGGGAAGTCTAATGTATTGATAGTGCTCAGAGTTGCCAGCCTCCAAGTTCCCCGAGTCTCCTGGGAAGAAGGCTTGATTGCAAC